CAGCATGGGCAGTAGATAGTTGGAAACTTTCTTCCTGGGATTCCTCGTCATCATCATCCATTTTTGCATCCTGATCCTCCAAAGCCGGCTCTTGGTTCCCCAGAGCTTCGGAAAGTCCCGGGTCATCTTTCCCAAAAGTCGTTCGGCCTTGGAGAGGGAATTGCGTGTCACTCGGTTTGTTGATCTTGATTACCCGCAAGATTGATGCAGTACCATTGGATTCATTTTCAATAAGATCCTTTGTAGGTACAACCATGAATTCTTTTCTCCACATGAATTCGGGGTGAATGGCATAGCCAAGGAATAAACCAGGGCTCGATGTTGGGTCGAAGCGAAGTCCCTCTTTGTTCTTCTTTCTCGGACCATTCCAATAGTCGATAAGACAGCCAAAAGGAATGAGGGGACCATCAAATCTCGATCCAAAACGTAATTCCCATGGTGATTTGTCCCCCCCCGTTGCAATGACATTCTGCATGAAGCACCAATGTCGGGCAGCATGTGGCCAGTGCCAATGATTCAGACCTGCTTGGAGCAGATTGACACGAGTGCCTTCAAGAACTGACCGGACTGCTCTCTCGGCTTGGGCGTTGGACTTGGATATGTAGTCCCTACTTAAGACATGACGGCACTGAAGGATTTTCATTGCTGAGATTAACTCAGGTGCATTGTCACTGTAGAAGACTCCTATCTTATCTTCATGTCCAACAAAATGTTTAATTGCCAAGATAGCAGCATTGGTGGTTCGTCTGGCATTGGGGTAGACATACATAAATCCTGTAGCTATGTCCTTCACGACGAGTGCACTTTTCTCATCATCGATCCCCAACTCATCTTCATCTCTGGTGACAATAAAATCAGCAGTAATGTGGTCACCAAATTTCTCAGCTCTGACTTTGGTTGATCCGCCTACGGCTCTTGAGGGTGGCTTGAACATCTTAGCTCTGGTGCATATGTCACAAAAAGGGTTCTTAGGGATGTGAGTCAGCATATGTCGAATAGACTTAGCTTCTTCTTTCAAATCCTTCTCCCCTAGTGACCTCTTGTGAGCGCCATCATCATGGACGTTACTACTGCTACCCTTGGATCCTTCCACAGGCGGCTCAACCTCCCGGTCGGCATCAGGAACATCAACCTCCTCAGCCTCCAAGGGCTGGGGCTCCGGTAAATCAACATTGATACCCATGGGGTCATCACCAATGATTTCAATGTCCCCATCGGGCTCCGGAGATTGTCGAGCTTCATCTGATGCCGGGGTGGCAATGCTTGGTCTAGGCTGAGTTGATGGAGTAGAAATCGTCTTTGAATTGTTTGCAAAGTAGGGTACGTAATCTCTGACAACTAACTCAATGCGTTCCCCATTTGGTTTGACCATGTACGGAGGTTCACCTTTGGAGCCTCTCCATATGAAGTCGTAACCATCATCAATGCATCTCATCCCGACTGAAATGACAGGAGGTGAGCTTTGAACAAGATATGGGTCAATGGTCTTGCCTAACTTTGGAACAAATACTTTTCCTTGTTTCGATGACGAACTTTCACCATTGGCAGTAATCATGCGAATGGGATTGTTGGAGTAGTATCCATAGTCATCTGGCAATTCGCTATCATTGACAAGATCTTGAGCACTCCCCGTATCTGCAATCCAGTCAAGTTCGAGGTTGATCGCTCCCTTCACGTCTTCTCTACATTCCGCAGGGGTGGCTTTGATTCCCTTTGGGATACATTCATTGCAACCAAAATCTGTGTCACATAAATAGGCACATTTGCATTCTATTCCCCGAAGACAATTGGAAACAGATCCTGCCAACATGGTACCGGTCAAAGCGGCATCATTCACAGCAAGTTGATCAACTTCAAACTGATGTCCCCATGGAAAGGTAACCTTATCCTTGGTGACTGCGTTTCCAATTGGCCTCAAGTTCCCTCGGACTTTAACATGAGATACGTCCGGTGAATCATCAAAACGAATCGATGGACAAAATACTCTTGGTTGAGGGATACAAAATGCCTGAGACACGGATGCAAGCATGGATGCAACAAGACAAACTGCGGCAGGAGACGGCTTAGATGAACTGGCCCCGGATCCTTTAGACTTCGGGGACTTCGGGCTCTTGGGGCTCTTAGAGCGGCTAGAGCTTCGGGATCCCTTCCTTTTCGGGTTCTTGGGATTCTTCTTTTTATTTTTGTTTTCGCTACTGGCCGAACGGGCAGGAGTAGCTTGTCTTGGTTTTCCCACTGAACCCTCATGAAGGAATTTGCAATCAGCTCCTCTATCGCAACGTCCCTGTTTCCAAAACTTGCAAATTTTCTTACCTTTCCCCTTTGGTCTGGGAGAACCAGAACGTTCATTTGAGCGACCTCTGGTTTTGCTGGGTTTGCGACTTCTATCGCGTGGCTTGGGGACTTCATGCTTGTAAGTACAGTTGTCCTTGCTACAGCCTCCCTTATTCCATGCCACACAATACCCCTTGGGGATGAATCCTGTCTTGCCCTCGACTGCGGGAGCGGAGGGACGACCGGAACCCGAAAGACCTTTGGCAACTCGATCACGATTTGCCTCCAACCTCTCACGGTCAAGGTGGCGTCGCACGGCAGAAACAAGGAAACTGTAGTTCCGTTTTTCGGTTCCTTCATCAGCTCTATGATACTCATTCATGTCATGTTGGATGGCCTTACAATTCTTCACTTGTTTGTAGAAGAGTGTCTCCAATACACTTTCATCAGGAGTCTGGACGATACCAGCCAACACTTGATCCCAGTTCGAAATGAAAGACTTCAAATTCTCCCCACGCAATTGAACACTGAACAAATCTTGAAGGGCATAAGTAGCTCCGTGCTTGATGTTGGTACTAAAGTGGTCATGCAACATGAACAACACTTGTCTCCCTCTTACAATCCGTCCAGCGGTGGCTTCAGTCTCTTTGAAGGTATCTACCTTGCGGGCGAAGTCACCGGTGATAATATTGGTGAGTGCAGAAAGTAACTTTGCATCAAGTGTCGCAAACGGCGCAACCTTCCGGAGCGCTTCAAGGGTCTGTTCTTCTTTCCAAGAATCACTAATCCACTTGAAAGCACTATCGGGATCGGTTGATGCTGCTACAACTGCTTCTCTGGTCTTAATTCTCCAATTGCGATAGGTTTCTGCCAATGGGAATGCTGGGATCTTGATGGTGTCAGCTTCCTTGACCTTGGGTTTGTCATCATGCCTTGGATCAATGTAGCCACCTAGAAACTTGATCATCCTTCGCCTGAACTTCTCATCATTATCATCATCGGGATCATCATCACCGTCATCCCCACCGTCAGGAGGATTGGGACCGGCCCTAGTTTTTCTGGGTGCCTTACGGTTCTTATCCCCTTCAGGTTTATCGATTGGATCAGGTGGTGATGGTGGTCCACCTCCCCCGTTCCCTCCGTTGCCATCTCCTCCATCCCCTGGATCGTTTCCACCAGGCGCATCATCGCCCCCCGGCTCGAAGTACTCCATCTCATCTGGGCCTAGTTCGGTCGGGGCATATTGATTGGTCGGCGCAGGGGAATTGACACTATCCATGGGATGGTTATCTCGGCGTCGATTATTGGCCTCTCCTCCCGAAGGGCGTTCCTCAGCGGAAGACCTTGCAACATCCGACTCCTTCTTCACTTGCACTGGGGCTCGATATGATGGATCATGATAAATAATCTCAATACCATCCTTTTCATAAGTTTCAGTGCCAGGGGAAGTAAAGTTAATCGGCATTCTTGCAATTGGAGGTCGGGCTACATTGGTTGGAGGTGCTGCAGGTGCAGCCTTGCGGGTCGGTGGAACAAACTCGAAATTTGGAATCTCCGTTGATGTATGGGTTCCGGCTGTCATAGTCATGGCGGCAGTCTCGACAATAGGATTTGGACGAACCTGAGCAAATTGGGAATCGAGCATACTTTGCAGTTTCAGATTATGTTGCATCTGGGCTTGTACCATGTGTTCAAGCTGTGTAATGCGTTCATTCTGAACCCTTCTCTCTTCCTCAGCTGCTCTTCTCAATTCAAGGATCTCTTGCTCCTTACTTGATAGTGATTGTCGATGGTTAGCATCAATGACACGCTGATATGCCTGAATTTTCTCATTCATCTGAGCTTCACGGAACCTTACGTGTTCGTGCGCCTCATGCTGTAAGTTCTCCCTATACTGTGCTCCCATTCTCAATACTTCTTGTTCTTTGGACATCATTGCATCTAAGGCCCTCTGACTTTCAATGCCCTCACGGACTCGCAATGCTTCCACCAATTCCTCAGTCTTTGCCGTGTGGACGGCCTCAGCGTGGGCTTCGGCCTGGGCCAATACTTCACGATGACGGAGTTCGGCCGTTGTTTCCACAAGGCTTGTCATAGCAGGATCATGTGCATGAAGGTGCAAATTCTGCTCGACAAAATTCACTTGAGGATTGTCAATATGAACATTGTGTTGAAACGTATTATGGACATTCATCTGGTTCAATTGGCGAGTCGGTGGCCCACCCTCCCGAGCGGCTTGGGGAACAAGACCACGGTGACTGAATCCCACATGAGAAGGCACAACTGCGTTACTCAAATGTGGAAGGTGGCGTCGGTCCCTTAAGCTTCTGGATTTATCGGAGCTTGGTGGGGTGCTGATGTCATATGAGAAAGGTGAGTTGCTGATAGGTAATGTCCCCGGGTTAGCCATGGCTGCATCAGAGGTATCTACACGCCCGGTGCCCTCGGTGGAAGAACCCGAGGGGGCAGACATTCCTACAAGGAAGAAATTAGCTTACGGCTGATAACCTGTTTTACAGGTCACCTAGCCAAAAGTAACCAACACTAGCGCGCTTGTTTCTTGAGCCATGCACAACGAGTATATCCAGTGAAACCCAATAAAAACAGAAAATATGTACATGTATATTGTTTTAGATTCTAGATATTTCTAGATCATATTTATGCATTGTGTGTGGAAACACCAGTAAAGAAAGTCCACCGTTGGATGCTTGGCAAGTCGCCACAGGTTACTGGGCAGCTTGTCCACATAGACCAGTCGTTGTAGGCGCAATCCACTGGGCACGTGCTCGGGTCGCATCGATGTCCTGGAGTGGTCGGCGGAAGCCAGGCATTGAAAACATTACCCTTTCCCACAGAAAGCCCACAACGCACAATCGGCAGCAAATTCACTGGATAAGAAACTTTAAAAAAATGTCTTCTGCTCGCCTAGACTCTGGAACCAAAATGCAACTTCGTACCTTACTCATCCTTACTCTGCTTATTCAAGGCAAGATACCTGTTTGCTGTACATCGTCACATATGCCACCATGCTTCGCTTCTGACAATATAGTCCTGAAGAGGTCAACGGCCAAGAGAGCATAGAAAGGGCCAGGCGGCCAGAGTGATATTGGCGCCAGGAACATAATTTGAAAGTCAGAGAAAACGGCCCCCTAGGTTGATATTAAATGATGTTAAATGTGCCTGACTGTTTGAGGTGAACGATTGTCCATTTCCCACGGTTGCCTGTTTCGCGTTGAGCTGGTGGCGCATTTAGTGCAGCTCCAATCGCTCCAATCTGAGAAGGTGCAGTCCTTCCAGGCCACTGAGAGTTGCACTGAGGGCTGGTGAAAGTTGATCCTCCAACCGATCTCTAATACATTCTGAGACGAAAGTTGCACTTGTTCTGCTCAGTCCTCTGGGCAAGGTTTCACAAGTTCTGTTGCTCTTCGGCATCTGATTGATCGCAGACCTGCGACCTCAGATGATCCCCTCGATAAACCTGTTCAAGCACTGTTAAGGAAATGAGTTGAAGCGGTTTTCAGTTTACTGTAAATAGTGCAAAATGATACTCTGACTATCTTTAACTAAGCTAAAAAGTCTGACAAAGAATGCGTACAGGTCAGATGGTGGGCTTCAGGTTTTGGAACGATCACTTCTGAAGCGAGTACAAAGAATGTCGACGCAATGGTAGAACACAAGGTACGGGAGATACAGTAATGGAAACTGTACACCGTATACCATCGTATACCCATGTTTGGGACCAGGACAGTGACTTTCGCGCATGGGAAGCTCAGATTGCTATCTCCCTCGCACCCGAAAACGATGAAAGAAACGGATTGCGAGGAGGACAGGAGGTGAAAAAACTGAAAAATAGACTCGGCGAAATCCGAAGTTCAAGACTTTGAAGCCCTTCATGTCCCCACTGGCCGGCATGTCATTCTGCTCATCCAGACTGATCCATTTAGAACCATCGAGACTTCCTGCAGCAAAAAAGATCTATCAAGTTTGCTGAAATCATGATTTTTGGGTGCCTAGATGACTTCAATCTTTCCTGCGTTAGCCACACTCCACTGAGCATTGTCAAGTGAGTATTGACTTCTTGCTGAAAGCAGCAGACAAAAAGCAAGCCTGTTCATGTTCTCGCCATCCAAAGGCAGATACATCAAATACGTCGTCACATCTCAAGCAAAAACATTCAGAAATCCAGTCCTTGCAAAACCCAGTCCACTTCCATGGTGCCAGTGGAAGTCTTGCCACCCTGAAGATAGTACGTGTCCACCACTGTTGGCTCCGTGAACTGATACCTCAGGCTCTAACAAGCTCAAACATATTGGGATCATCAAAGTTGAAGGCAAAAGTTGCAAACTTCACTCAAGTACCCGCCAAGATGCTGCAAAGCCCCTCGAGAATTCCCGCACAACGTTGGACGCCTTCAATCGCAAAAGGGTGCCATTAAGGAGTAGACACAGAAAAAAAAAGCTTGTCTTTCGGATATTCACAAGCCTGAAGTACATTGCCAAGTCTACGACGTAGTGTCGAATTATAAGTCTGATGTTGACATCAAGAGATTGCTAATTTGCTAAACCTTGCTGCCACAGCCACTTATCCAGCTGATTTTCTCTACATTGCTGTTGCACACGGTGATGACTTTGTGAAACCCTCTCCAAGCAAGATCGATTTCAGTGCCTTGACTCATCCTGACCCAGACCCACATGGGGGAGCTGGCCACTTAAATGAAAAGAGTGAGACTTCAGGAAGCAGGTCATGGTTGTCTTTAGACCTTAACTCACTTGAAACCTCCGCCACACCCTGATGTTGTCATGCGTTCGCGACATTATCCTTTAGCTTGCTGCTTGCGGGCAGCGTGACAATACCCAATGCAGTGATACTTGGACAGGTGTTTCGTGATGATAGCTGGGTCTTCATCCGTGACATTGTACCAGACTGTTGGGGATTGACCTGCGCATGGCCCAGCGCACGCCATCCAACCTTCGCTCTTGTTTTCTGGTACCACCTGTTGAACTGTTTATCAACTGGGTGGCGTCTCAGGTACTTGGCAGTCAAACGATATACGTCTGTCATGTTTGTCTGCGAGTACACCAGATAGCCCCCGTCAGCATGGCGTTTGTACCAAATACCCACGGCCTGCCGTCGCGAATTTTCAAGCAGTTCTGCTGTGGGCACACAAGCAGACTGGGGAAGGCAATCCAATCCGTCAATCGAGCTTTCAAATGCTTCCGGCTCTGTGCGGAAACCGACAGATTTGTCCCGATGTTTGTCATCTTCGAGGAATTTCGGCAAATAATCTGCATGCGCACCAATATCTTCGACAATCACCCGTGCATCCTCCAAGGTCACCTGGGTAGAAGATCCATTGTTTGGGTACTCCAAGAGGTCAACTCGTTTAGAAAGTTGATGGAAGATGTCCTCAAAAGTACCATTGATTTGCTCATGTATGTACACTGCAAGGCTGTGAATTGAAACCAAACCTTCACCACTGGCAAAGCGCTTTTGAAAGAAAGTCAGGTCAGCTGGTGAAAGCACTCGCTTGTGGAGCTTCCTGGCAACGAGGCCTCGAAACATTTTTTGATCAATTTCGGCTCTGCTTTGGAGCCTCTCCACACCCTGCTGAGCCAAATCTGCACAACGAATCCGGGCGCCGAAGAGCTCAGAATCTTCAGCAGAATCCTGCTGTGACGCACTTCAACAAACTGTGCTCACCTATTAGACCCTCTACCAGCTCTAACCTCCCAGGCACCCGGATGCACTGCGACAGATCGGATCCGATTGGCCTGAAGCTGCGTGCTCCAGTGCCACGAAGTGGAGAGAGGAGGCCACCTGGCATAAAAGATCAGAAAAGACATATAAGGGATTGTGGTTCTCAATGTATCCAATGTTGGTACAGACAGATACTAATACTAATACTACACCTCTCTTTGATCATGAACAGCCTTTCAAAGTCAAAAAAAATGAATGGCAGAACTCCTTCAGGCAAGTCAGCACAGGTTGGCCCAATCGAAGATTTACTCCGTTTTCGAGATCGATTTCGTACCCTTTCAATCTCGACATTGCACTGGGTTATCTTCAAGGTACCTGTGGGATCAAAGAAACGCATCTCCTCTATGCACCAGCCTGACAGCTCAGTGTGGCAGAAGGTACAGTAACTATTTATCTATGACATTCCCTAGACAGAAACAAAAAAATCCATGAATGAATCCATGAATGTCCATCTAGCAACACCGGCTTTTGCCTTCAGAATTTCAACCATGACAAAATTTTGGACTTGTTGGACATTGAACTACTCATCAGGTTCTGTTGATGGCATGCTGACAACACCCTACCGTATCTGATTTATCAATTCACTCCAAAAACGACAAGGCGAAAAGTCACAAAGATCCGTTGTTTAGGGAATCTTGTTGTGGATGGAATGGAATGTGTTGTTTGGACTTGGATGTTGCCTTTTATCAGTTTTATCAACGATCTTTTGCACGGCACCAGCCTGCAGAACTGGCGGGAATGGCCAGGGAGTACAGCGTGTACGCAGCCCGTTGAATTGCAAAGCTCGTGAATCCTCCGGGTCGCTGGCGCGATGGAGGGCACGACACTATGGGATGACTACGGGATGACCGGACGATGTTTTTTTCCATTCGTCGCATGAAAGGGTGATCCTTGCTGGCATGCAAAAGAAATGTTTAATTAGATGTACAAAAAACTAACCCTGGTAATCGGGCATGCATGGGCATTGGCGCGGATGGTCTTTGCGCGCTTCAAGTGCTTCATGCACCCATGCTTCCGTAGCAGGGCATGCCAAAGACGAGATAATGAAAGGATTGTTGGTGAGCAACATGTGCCAGTTTGTCGGCAATGGCAAGTCTTCTGGTGCTCAAACGAGAAAGCTCTGACCATGTGGGTTTTTTGGACTATTATCTCCAAGATGCACATTGATCAGTCCCCTCACGGCCCCAAATGCACCGGGAAATCTTTCATCGACTGACCCAGGACTCCTTGATCAAATGCAGTTGTCCAGCTGTTCATGGATCCATCCACAGCCCGTCGACTGAGTTTTTCGTCGGCTGACAAGGCGTAGAGCATACCACCACTCAGCAGAACCTGCTGGCAACAGCTGGTAGGTAGAAGTGAGTTGAACAAAGATAGTCTATTGATCATAGAACGTCATATTGAACAGTCAATTCTGGTTCCATGTTGAAATCTGGGTGTGGCATGGCGCGGTATCGTTTGAAAGAGGTAGTTGGCCTGGATGAGAGGCAAGCCCAAGCTTGCTCCCATCATCACCTGGTATGACCTTTAATTTGAAGCTTATAGACACTTAGAGGAAAGATCATAGATCTATTCGTGTTGGTGGCCCACGGTTACGTGCAAGCTGATGGTTGGCTTTCGGGGGTGCGTTTCACGCATTCACCAGTACAGAATCCCATTGCAATTTGAGGAACTGAAGTCCAGGTAGAACCAGAGGCTGCTTGAGACCAGCTACCTCAGCAATCAAGGACTCAATCAGCTTAACCGGCCAAATTCAAGGCTGCTTTGTCAAGGGAGAGAGGGAAGCATCGACAGAAAGATTGACCTTTCCAAGGCACTAGAGCTTGAAGCTCCTTCTGATTGCATGTAGATCCGGTTGTCAGTGCTAACTCCTGAGGTTGGACTGAAAACGCTTTTGACAAGACAAAATAGCTTCTTTCACATGCACTGACCTCACAGCCCGTCCGAAACAATCAACAAGGGATCTTCATTGGGTGGTACCTCACAACCACGTGTTGAGACCGGGATGTCCTTGATTTGGAAACTGCTAGGCCCGCTAGGCTAAAGTGACTTCGCACACAAACCGAAGGTTTAGAGTTGACATGGGTTTGACATTGATGACATTGCAATTTGGGGCCTAAAAACAGCTAAAACTGCTCTGATTCGATGGGGAAACCAAGTCAGGGGCTCAATACTGTAGTTTGGGAATGCAACATAAGTTGACCACATGTGGTCAGCGGTCAGCTAGTGGCCAGGGAAATGAAAGTACTTAGCCGCCATACTTAACCAAATCTTAGGAGTGTCCATTCAACCAATCCCAAGCCAAGCATCCATAAATTTTACCACCGGACGCAGCAACCTCAGAGACAAAGCATTCCATTCTTCCAAGTCTGGGATGGCCAGAAACTTGGAACACATATTGCCCAGGGCATTCTGTGGTGAATCTTTCTAGGATTCCCAATATGGGGCGGTGTTCTCTTCCGTTTCGGTTCTGAAATATCGATGCAGAAGAGACCACACCCAGCACTGAGTTCATCAGTTTCAGTGGAAGAGTGACTGCTAAAGGTTTTCTCAGGTTGTGGCTTGCAGGAAGGCGCGTTCAGAGGCTTGCTGCCAGGAGGTTTCAGTTGACATCCCGATCAAGGCTTGCTGGTAGAGCTTCCCCTCGGTGCCTCATCTGACTCATCTTGCAAAAAAAATGTTTTCAACTCCCGCGGAGGTGCCATGTTCAATAGGCAACTGCCGATGGGCAAAAGGACCTCAAGACTTTTGTGGAGCGCAACCAATACAGCTGCACTTCCCAGGAATCCAAATTTGACAAGTATCGGCACCCAGGACCTATCTGGCTGCTTTAGCAACTGGTCTTGGTCCCATGGTTCCATGCAAACAAGTCGCTGAGACCATACACGGTTCCTTCACCTCAGTGCTGCATCTGATTGAATTCCAGCAAGGTTCAAGGCTACTCAGCTACTCTCCCTTGACATTTGACATCGGCTCCCCTGTTTCCGCAGAGTACAAATATCTGCATTCCGCATTCCTGCTTGTGCTTTGTTTTTTTTAACCTGCAGTCGATTTTCAACTCAATGCTTCATCCGTGTTATCAAGCTGTCGCAGATTTGCCCCCACTGGTCTTCAGAGTTGTTTCTGCTGGAATCAGAGCACCGACAAGGACCATAGTATCATAGTCCAATCCGCACGCATAGCCCACCGGACAGTGTTTTTTTAACGTTGGGAAGCAGTTAACTCATCGAGCTGTCCTGCTTCCTAACTTCAGGAGCTCACCTTTGTCTTCAAAAATTGTCAAAAACTGAACTGACCGAGAAAATTCTGTGAACTCCGATGCTGACCGAGAAGCCACTATCACCAATGGCTAGCTGCTTCCATTGTTCTCCCCAGGCGGCAGGAGACCGCTCAGTCATGTTGCCTCCGGTCCTAGGTGAAATTCAAAGCCCTCCCAGTGATCAGATCCGGTTGGTCTGGCTCGGTATGACTGGTGCTTCCTCAGGGGCGGCTTTTTAAAGCAAGTTCCTCTTGCAAAGGGAAGCAGAATTTAAAATGTGGCGGATGAAGAGTCTGTAATATTCTGTAATTATGTCTATTATATTCTATTATTGTTGCTCTTTAGTTTTTCGTCTGGGACATGGCCTATGCACTACTTGCACAGTTTGCAGCTGGCACGGGGAGCCTCTAGAGCGATGATATTTCGGCACAGAAATTCCAGTACTGCGAAGCTTTGCAGGTGGACATGAAGTTGTCAAGCTGAGACCAGACCAAGCGCTGACTCGCCCAAGGTGGTACACAGATAGAGTCAGATAGAGTACATTATCCCAACCAATATACCCCATACTGCAGAGCGCCACCCCACAATTTCCACGGCCAGGCTGCGCTTTGAAGATGCTGTTCTGAGAGATGCCTCAATTAACGGCAACAAAGGCGGGCAAGGATCGAGGCAAGGCTGGGACAGCTGATGCTCCAACATTCTGTGGGAACATCAGCTCTTTGGCCAATGGAACTAGTACAAAACAGAGTGCTGTGACATCCTATCAGACTGGTCATAGAGATATGGATAAATTCTATCATATATCATCCTATTGTATCTATTTGTCCTATTTTCCTTTCTTGTCCAACAAGGCTCTCTTGTCTTGACCCGAAAAGAAACTGGACAGCTCCTTGCGTCCCAGAGGCCGTACAGAGCGTCGCCTGGGGATCTCAAGCCCAAGATAAGCCCAGGATCTGAAAAGTAAGTTGCAAGCACTGCAAGTTGCCAATTTGTCGCCTTCAGACTTTGTTTCCATTGCCATTTTGGAAAAAACGACTGAGCTCCGATCGATATGGAAGAATTTGGCTCCAGCTACGGTCCTGAGACAAGAGATCGTCCGAAGAACCACACAAAGCATGATGTCAGGCACTTGACAACTCTAAAACATATAAAACACTGACAAAGCCCTTGAGTTGCTGGCTCGCACCTAGAAACAGAAAAAAGAAAGTGCGCCAGCTTTCCAAAGAAATCTGGGTCTGTGAAATTCCGCACAAGAAAACAGAGCCAGGTCAGAAGGCCTGACAATTTCCTGCGCTTCAAGAGCTCAGAAACACCGAACCAGCTGGCAACATGGTGTGAATTGGTGTGAATTGGTCATTAACCATTTAACCATCAATCAACCCAGCCGCGAAGCCCGCTTTGGTCAGAACATGTCAGAACTCATGAGGAAAGGGTGTCCAGGGCCATCAAAGAATTCCCCAATTCAGCTTCGGCTCAGTGGAAACTGCCAACCAGCTTGCAATGGTGAGGTTAGAGAGGTGCTGTTTGTACAGCTTCTGGTCCTTGCCAAGGATACACAAGCGTACCCTGTAGCTATAATAGGGCCCGCATCTGCACATAAATACCGGATCCATGATATCCAAGTCTGAAACGACAAGAGGCTCGCATCAAAATGCTTTCGGACTTAAAAGTTTGCAGGTTGGTCACAAAGCTCGAAGACAGAAAAGTTTAAATGACATGCTTCTGGTGATTTCTGTAAATCTTGATGCAGTACACAGCAAAAGTAGCTGGAAAGGGTGTGATAGCATGAAGCTCCCGTTTAGACTCCACAAATCTCTACGCCAGGGAGCTGCGGAGATTGCATAGATGATGCTTCCACCTCGGCTCGCAGAAAGACGACACTTCCAACGGCTGTCAGATGTTTGGCTCACAACTGGAACTCCAGTTGTACACATCAAACTGGACGCCTTGCCACTTCCCCCAACTGCTTTCAACAGAAGTAGACAAAAAATGATAACAAGACTTGAGGTATGGGAAACCATAGGATGCCATGAAGTCTTGATCCAATTTTTCAGGTGAATTAGATTGAATTAGCATAGCTTGCAGAGGATAAAAGCGTGAATTCCATATACAGGTCTGACAACTCCGTACAATCAGCTGTACAAATGATACCATTGTTTTGTGCATTTTGTACAATGCAAGAGCATCTAATCTATTGGATCTATTGGTATCCTCTGCTCCAAAACGCTGCCGTGGAGCTTATGGCAATGCTCTCTAGGGCCGTCGTCCTTGAAGGACAACCCGTGCTGGATTCAGGTGAAGGTCTTGGCTATGTTTGGCTATTTCAAGATCCTTTAAGGTCAAAGTGTCTTGATGAACCCAAGTCTTCCTTCCAGTGGCTACTGAATGGCTACTGCACTGCTCCTTCACATGCAACGAATCCGTCCATTTCTTGGAAGACTGTTGAGATTGACAGCCGAAAGAGAGTCATAAGCAGGATGGATACCCGCAGGGGCCGGTGCCTGTTGGACCTTCAACCAGGAGCTTGTTGGGCTCATCCTCATTTCCAAGGTATGCAACACATGCAACACGTGCAACACGTGCAACACTCATCCTGTCCAAATTCTCCTTTGTACGCCCTCGTAATGCTTGGTTTCGATCCAGATTTAATGAGTCCCACTATCTCGGTGCTGTGTGTTGGGACAAGAAAAGTGATTGGTACACAACTCGTTTTTTCTTTGACTTGGGCTGGTTCAAGACATTAGCTTCTTCTGCTAGCATCCAGCAAGTGTGATCCAAACAGTTTGTGGTCCAAACAGTCCAAACAGTCTGTACACCTGGAACAGTACTCAAACATGATCAAACCAAGCTCAGGCATTCTGGTTTCGGATCTGGCGGGCCCTTGGAGCCAAAGCGACAAACTGACAGATTGCTTGTAGAGCTCAGTATTCTTCACGGCAAAAATCACGTCGCCTCCCTCCTTACTTTCGACTGCTCGGGAGCCTCAGCAAGATGCTGCCTTGACTGGAGGAAGCTTTGAAGTTGCAAAATGAATTGCTGGCAGATTTACTCAGTTTAATAATGATGTTTAATATTTCTTCGAGTGTGTCAATGTACAGTGTACAGTATACCATACAATACCATCCATATATACATAAAGTAATGCGGCTGATGGCGGCTTATGGCGGCCGTGAAAACATATCTGATATCTGTCAGCCCAGTTCCGGACGCTTGATAGTTCCTTCGCCGCAACTTGAGCTACACTGGCTCCATGAGGACCAGTCACCCCAGCCACATCCTCGGGCACCGGATTTCATCAGTGGTCACCGTTGTCTCGTCGTTAAGCTATATCCTTTTTGTATCCGCAAAGTGAAGCAAGTTAGACAACCGCTGTGCCATTCACACTCAATTCATCTTAATTCATCTGATATGATTCATAGGAAATATCGGCCAAGCCACCGTTTAGACCGTGGCTTAGGACTGCATCCAGCTCCGTATCTGATGGCGAAGGGAGCACAGTTTGTCGATATTGCAATGTGGTGCAATGGTGTGCAACGCACCTCACCTACTTCATCTACCTTGCCTACCTTGCCTACCTCTTAATCTTGGAGAAGCTTGATCTGCAGCGTTGTGTCAAGGTGGGAGTACATGCACTTCAAGACGCGGTCGCAACGCATTGTGCAAGATTTCGACCACAAGTTGATTTTTGCAAGGAAAACGCGTGGACAAATCAGAGAAACTCTACCAGACTCTACCAGTGAGACTGCTTCCAGCACAGGACGCTGCACCCGTCTTGTCACCTTCAATGAGGAGCTCTCCATCGCTCCCCACCTCTACTTCAAGCTCAGCAGCACCTCAGGTGTGCAAACTTTGGATACCTTGATTATGCGTGATCAGAGTTGCTTGGCTAATGGACGAAGAGATCAAAGAGAGTTTTGAAGTCTCTTGCTCCAGACAAAGACAAAGACCGGCAAATGCTGGAATTAGCAAATGCAAGTAGCTTTGTTTCCGGATGTTTCCGGTTTTCAGGCGTTACGGATGTTACGGTGAGACATGGTTTGCGTTACACCGAAGTGGATCCCTCTGGGTGCACGGCCCCGCCGTCGGACCTAGCAGTTTTGGAATGTGGAGCGACCGCTGCTCTGCGTAAGGCTTTGAGAACGTTCTCCGACAGGCATCTTTCGTTCAAAAGGAGACCGCAGCTTTCTTACATTCCCATCCTCTCTGATAGAAAGCTAAAACCATGTCAAGAGATGTCAAGATATGTCGAAAAATGAGAGAGTCGAGTCAGGCTTGCTCAGTCGATGCGTATGGCAGCATTCTTGACTCACGTCTTTACAATTCTTTGCAAGCTTTACATATCTTTATATATATATACATGTTCTTGACGAATTCTTCACCTTCCCTCTAAAGTTCTCTAAAGTGTACATATCCTTCTGCAGGATCTTTTCGCGAAAGGCTGCTGAGTTCTCCACCTCCGTGGGATGAGTCCTGGCGCTTTCTTCGGTGCTTGAAGGCTGTGCTTTGGCTGTGTGATCACAATGTGGCAACCGCAGAATGACAATGTGGCGCTCCTTTCTTGTGGATCCTTTTCAGATCGCAACAACCTGAGTGTCCGGGAAATCGTGGATTTACCAACCCTGGCGTACTTCGACCGGATTTTTCAAGACTTCATGGTAAGAGATACAGAACGATTACTTACATTTCGAGCTCCTCGCCAGTAAGCTACATATAAAATCTAACTTAACAGTCTTAACAATTAAATATCGTTCTCATTCTTTCTCATTCTGCAGTAACCACCAACAATACATACGATAATATGAGTACGATGGGATAATCTGGTGTCACAACTGCAATTGAGTCTCTTTTGGAGACTAGGATTCTCCTCCTGGCAAATCTGCACAGGTGCACATGGTGCACACATTTGTTCGTAGCTGACGCAGCTGACGTAAGTTTGTCATCAAGGCAAACTAAAGATTAGCGAGAGGGTGATGCCAACCTGGCCAATGTTGATGCTCTCAGCCAGGAGAAGACATGAAAATAAAACCTTGGCAACGCAAAGTGGAGCCAAGTTGATGACATCGGAGATCGCAAGACACACAGACTGGCACAGACTTAAAACACAAACAATAGGTGCTTTCCACATTTTCCCACTTTGTCACATTGATTTACACCCACAAGTAGCAGCCTCCTTCAAAGCAATGAAGAGACATAATGAAATAAGGAAAAGATTGGGAAAACAAATATAGCTTTATTTCGAGGAAATAATCAAAGCAAAAGTGTGGGCTTCACTGGGTTTTGTGAAGGTGAGGTTGGTATAGGTTGGTCATGTGGCATGTCAATTCTTTGGTGAGGTAATGGGGAGGTAATGAGGAAGGCACGGTGAGGCCCGGAGTCTTACAACGATTCAGGTCTCTGGTCCAGCCCCTATGGGACTCCAACGCACAGGAAACCACATCGTCTCGCCATCCTGGGAGTGTAACATGAAAAAAGATTGAAAGACCTCCTTCATTGTGACAGATTGGGACAAATTCCGACAATTGTGAAGATTTGTAACGTCCACGACAGGAAGGAGCTCTTTTCGCATCACCAGTCATACAAACTTTCAATGGAGTCTTGCAAGCCTGTTTCCACATCAAATGTTCTGATTTCTTCAGGTTTGTCTTTGCGGAAAGGGAGAGTTGTGCAGCTTAGAGTCAAGGCGCAATGGCTAGCCCAGCGCCGTTGAGAATATGGAAAAGGTTAGACCTTAGCGCGGCAGCCAAATGCTCGTGGAAAGACTGGAAAAGCTCCATCTGCTGTATCCGATTTACAAGAAACATCGCAGTCTGTCAAATCGCTGCTTTCCGTTTCCGTGAGTTTCCATGCTGCAACGCTTTCCGTTCGTCCAAGAACAGCTGAAAGGTGCAGAAAGATGCAGAAAGGGATGCAGAAAGGAGAAAAAGCTGAGGTCACAACAAACCCACGGACGCCATGGCGCTGCCGGCGGCGCTTCGGGCCAAAAAGGCAACATGTGACAGGTCGTGACAGGTCGTGACAGGTCGTGACAGGTCGTGACAGATCAGCCATGGTAGCTTCGGCTAAAAAGACCCGTGACTCTCGCTGGTCACAAGTATCATCAGTATTCATCAGTATCATGTTTCTTTATGGTTCAATAATGTTCAATAATGTTCAATACTCTAGGCAATTCCTGATACCTGCCAGCGGCAGTACAATGGCAATTGTTGATTGCACAGGAAAGCACCTTGTTCAAAAGAAGATACCCAAACCAGCCGTTTTGGTGAGTAGATTTTGGGTTGATCGGAATTGAGCTGTTTCATCCTGAACTGGAAATCTCAAGCTTGCCCTGCACGGATGTAAACGTGCCGGCATTGCCGGCGAAATGCTGAACATTTGAGGCAAACTGTTCCCACGTGCTGCATCCCATTCAAAATGAAAGACCTATCGGATATTGTTATAGTTATGATTATATTATGTTGTGATCTGGCATCGAACTTGGTAAGGCAATATGCTGCAGCATGTTCAACTACTCTTTTCCACATCATTTGCTAGCCTGCGTCGTTTCGACGGGCGCTTTGGGGCAGCTGTGGAGCCTGCAGCTTAAGCCGATTTAAGCAAATGAGGTGCATCATGGGGACATAGGGAGCTTCCAACAATGGCTTGGTAAAAAGCCCGCATGGATGTCCTTGAAGCCATCATCAGCGTCCACCAAGAGATTAATTACCAACAAATGCATGAAGACAAAGCTCAAAGCTCATGATTCTTGATGATAGAGGTCTGTAAACATGATACAAACAGCATCAAACAGCCACATTCATGAGGAAGTTTGCAAAATGAAATGGACCCGGGATGCATGATTCAAGGTGATGTTGGTGTGATGATTGGTCTCCATGCTGATAGGGATAGATTCCTGGCCGACCGGAGCCTCTGCTTGGGAATATTCTGCGACACTCGAATCCTCGGGAGAGGCCTTCAAAAACGTTGCAATCCAGTGAAAAGTTACGATGATCGCAGACTTAAAACGTAACTACTGTGCTGCAGCAGTTCCATCTCAAATATACAGTAAGTCTTAGGACGTCAATGTGACTGCATGTCAGACGGCAAAGTCTGTTGGAGAAACATGTGGCAACAGGCGGCAACAGAAACTGGCCAAGCTTTGTCTGTTGCCACAAGTTTTGTCTCCGGCCTTGCCATAGCCACGACTCTCTTTTGCAAGAGCTGCCATGAAGATGGGCCTGGCACTGACGACCCCTGGAACCGGTCTCTATCAGATCCCGTAACAAAGTCTGTCAAAATCCAGATTTCATAAAGGCAATCAATGGATCATTTTTCAAAATAGTTTTCTGAGGACTAGGCACAATGCCAAACAGGAAGAGGAGGATATCGAGGATATCCTTGGCAAGGGACGCAAGGCGTCTGCCACTAAACAATGCCCCTACACTTTGGGTACCTTGGGGCAAGTACATTCAAAGATTCAAGGCAAGAACTCAAGAACACCAAAAGAATCAGATTAAGAATCAATTTAAGTGTTCAGAGAGCCAAGATCAACCTCTAAAGAAGTTTCTCGCGTTTTTCAACATTCCCAAATTTCCAAAATCTCCTCTCTCAAGGAGCTGCCAAGTTCCAGCTCTCAGAAGGCTCAGAGAAGTCAGAAGAGTCAGAAGTGTGCTGTCAGAGTTTGCACAGGGATTTGCAAATGGATGTGCAGGCTAAGCGGCATGTATAAAAACCCGTATGCCTTGTCCGGTCCTTAGAAGTGGGCCATTGCACAGCTGTGGCAAAATGGAGCATAAATGGAGCATCGCAGGTTTGGCTCTTACCACTGCGCCACACCGCCCCCAACTGTGCCAGGATGTGCCAGGTCTCTCCGGAAAAGAATAGTGCAAGGACGCACAGGTGTCAACCCCTGGGGCTTCACAACCGCTGACCTCGCTGCCAAACACATGACATGTTCAGTTCCGAATCAGTTCCCAGCGCTTTGTCAAAGTATCTCAGGAAACAAATAAGCCATAAGCAGTTTGATGATGTTTGATGCATATTCATACAAGCATTCATACATTTCATACATATTATTCTGCTTAGTTTCTTAGTTTTCTCCTTTGGTAAAGTTCTACCTGACCAAAGCTGCAGCCAGGTGCCTTGTCGAGCATGGCCTGCGTGCAGGTGTTGTCCAAGAGGCAAGTTGCCAGCGTCCCTTTGGGTTGGCAGCCTGACAGAAACTGACAGAAACTGTGTACTTATGATGTAAGTTTGACAAGTTGGGACTCGGATTTAGCAGCTTTGTTCCGGCCTTCAAAGCTGATCCTGGGCTCATGGCTCAAGGGGTTTGGTGACAGATCGTGATAGGAAAGTGATGGAATAAGCAGAGCAAATGCTCAGAAAGGCTCAGAAAAGCATGGATTCAATCTCCACTGTGGACCAAGTGCAGCAAGGCAGCTGCTTCAAAGAGCAAGCCGTGATGAAGCCAGACATCACTGCGTACTTAGCAGCAACATACAGGGCCTCACCAGGATTGTCGGTTCATGTCTGTTCACGTCAATGTTCAGCTCCACTGTCTTTAGCTGTGCGAAGCAAGCAAGGGTGTAGATGACAATGTTGTCAAATGTAGGGCCCAGATGGGCCCAGCAAGCAATTACCATAAGCTCTCCACACATTATGATACATTATGTAATTATGTCTAAGCTTACTTGAAACATGTTCTCGCCTCTTGTCAGATTCGAGTCTTCTTCCAGGGCACTGCAAGCCAATGCTGTTATGTCGCTTTATTTATATAGATTGAACGATTGTGGTTGTTGATCCGTTCACAAAGGGTTCTCAAAACTGACCGGTTTTCCGCTTCGCCTTGGTGACCATAGCACAGAAGACATACCTGACATGAGGGCGTCACCGTGAGAGCACTGAGCAGAGATAGCTCCAGCATGCCCAGCATGCCCAGCATGCCCAGCATGCCCATGCCAAGTTACTGAATCAGCATGCCAACCGCTCTTCTGTGCACCCACCACCTTCGCGGCCACTGGTTTCCAATAGGAAAAAAGCAAATAAGGAAGCATAGAAAGGAAGAATAAACAAGAGAAACACACCGAAACACAACCAGCAGATTCTGGCAACAGTTCTCTCTTGGTCAACCTTGATCAGCCTTGGCCTTGCCTAAAGCTTTGCTTAAAGTCGGTTCAATGTCGATTCAATCCCTTTGACGTCCTCATTGCCCTCTCAATGGGCTCCCTGGCGCAGCGCTCAAAGTGGCCGCCAACATGACGCAAGCAAAGGTCAACTGCAAATCCTTGGATCAGAGCGGGGACAACCGGGGACAGCCAGGCGCCATGCGATGCCATCTGCAAGAATTGAGATAACTTGGCCTGGTATGTGTGAGATTGATGTCTTACTGTGTCTTGGCGTGTCTTTCATGCTTTAAGAGTTGGCGGATGGCTTGGTCCGGGCAGAGTGCCTTTATGGTCCTCACAAAGCCCATATACTGATAGAACAACTACCCAACAGCAACCGTTCATTGGTATTTTAAGAAAACTGATGCTGGCTTCTTGCAGTATATGCATCATCCAAGGGCCAATCTGCAGGAATCTATATATATATATAATTATATATATATATACATATCATATAATTATACAATACACCGTGACGAACAAGTCAATCTCTCATCTACAAGGCATTTGCTTGGAGCAAAGCATCTCTGCCCTCCAACCCCACCCTTCATTAGACTGATGCTGAGGCCCCTTCTTTGAGTACAGCCCGAGGTAGCAGCAAGCACCTATGTACCTGCCAGACTTTCTAGATGACAAAATATACAATAGATCACAATGTCATAGTCATGGGCTTCACAAGACTAGTTCATTCTTTCGATCCTTCCAGGCAGTGTTGCTGGTCACAGCATTGCAGCAATTCTTTCTTAGGCGACTCAAAAACGCATCCAATACAATCTAATGCGCCTCATATGCGGTTGCTGCCAGCTGGATCCACACGTTAATCTCTGCTAAGCGCCAGGTCCACCTCGCTCAGGTGAAAGGCGAAAGCGAAGAGCAACAGTCGCAAACTGATTTCAATCCAAAGGGGTACAGAGGGAAACCTCAAATGACTTAATGACTTAGAAAGACTTCGGAAGATCCTCAGAATCATACCTTCAAGTGCCTTCAAGGGCCTTCAAATGCCTTCAATGGCTTCACAGTGTCTGAGCCACTCACTGCCGGGCAGTGAGATCTCGTGGGAAGGGCAAGCAGCCAGGACAACTGACAATGCAGCTGGACAGGCCGGACAGGGAGAAAATATATGAAAATGTTGCCAAAGTACAACTTGAGACAAAAGTGACGAAAACTGTCAAGTTGAAGTCCTTCCTCTGGGTGGATTATGTGGATTTGATTGCACTACACATTGGTCCAAGCCACTTCTGCGCCTTTGCCATTACTCCGTTGTCCCTCCAACTCATGCCAGTCTGATTGAATCCAACCCCGGTGCCTCCCAAAGATGTCTTTACCACTCATCTCCCAGGAGTGCAGGTCCTCAGATACCAACGAATCCCATCAAATCCCTGGAGTGCACATCAGTGCAGCGCACATCTCGCATTGAATGGAAATTTGTCAACACGGTAGCTGTGACAAGACTGGTAAACTCAGAGCGGACTCAGTGCACTCTACAGTTCTCTACAGTACAGCTCTTGACAGCTCCTGCAATTTTGGGTTCACATACTTTTCTCGACCTGCTGAGATGTCCAGCCGACTCTGGCACGTCGCCTCGCACGAGGCACGGGCACAGCCCGTAGCAATCTGTTTGGTGCCTGGGCAGCGCCATGTTGTGAGGATTTCCCAGATGTCCACTCGGTAGCACCACCTATCACTGCATCACTGTATCAAATTGGCATCAAATGTCAAGCGATGCCGCAGCTGTGAATCAAAAAACAAAGTTCTCTCTGGCGCCTCTTCTCGTGCTCGTCAACAAAGGCACATCTCCTCCGTTGCAAGCAGACTCACTGCGCTGCAAGTCAGGCCAAATGTGGCATCTTGGACCCCCGTTGCAACATCGCCAGCATAGCAGCAGGATTGCTGTGGATTATCGACCAAGTCGGTACAGCACCTTACCCCTCCAGATTTCTGTATTGCTTGAAGCAAATGCTTGGCAAATTAACCAAACAGTACTTGTGCAAAGTACTAATTCTGCGTTGTGCCACAGCCAATACAGCCATAACCATCTCTGCATGTGTTTCAAGACATTTTGCAGAGCTGCCAGGTATGAATAAATCGGGACGGGTGATCCGGTATTTGCTTGGTTCGCTGTCTCCTACAAAGCAGGCAGCTCACAGCCAAGGTCAACATTGCGCTCGAGATTGCCAAAGAGAGTCGGAACTTCCTACGAGAAATGGCAATGCCCAGAAGAGCGCCCAGAACAACAATTGCTTTCACAAGCTTAGGAAAATAGATTTGCCGCAAGCGAGGTGCCCCTTCCACTCTGTGAAGGAGTTGCTGTTGAAATGTGGTTTGGAAATTGCGCAACACTAGACTTGGCCTGTCAGCCAACGAAGCTATGTTGCCAGCCAAGTCAATGTCCCAGCCTCTGCTCAGCTGCCTCAAAGGTCTGATCGTTGGGATCAAACCTTGTGTTCAGCAGCCATGGTGCAGGTTGTTCAGGAGAATCTCCGAGTTTCTCCCTTCTCTTCGCTGTTAGAACGATTCGACTGCCGTCAAATCTATTGAATCTATTGGAAAACCGTGAAAGTTCTGTGCACCTCTAATGGCCTAATAATGGCCTAATACATCCAATACCAAAACTGTTTCAAGTTTTCTGCAGATGTACACTTTTGCGAGACAAATTTCCGACATAGACTGCACTGACTGCACTGACTGCACTGACTGCACTGACTGCACTGACTGCACTGACTGCACTGACTGCACTGACTGCACTGACTGCACCTGGCAGCCTGGTTTAGAGTTTCCTGTCATCCCTCGGGGCTCAAGCAGAATCGTTCCAGATGCAAGTGACTGGTGCCTCGACTGAGAAAGTGCTGCAAAATCTGTGGCTTTGAAGATACGTTCAAGTTCAGTTCACCCCAAGGCCCTGGAAATATGCAGATAGATAGATAGATAGATAGACAGATAGACAGATAGACAGATAGATAGATAGATGGATGGATAGATGGATAGATGCATAGATGGATGCCTAGATGCCTAGATGCCTAGATGCCTAGATGCCTAGATGCCTAGATGCCTAGATGCCTAGATGCTTTATGCCTTCCTGGCCGTGTTCAGCTACCACTCTCGTTTGGGCTTCGCACGAACTCATCGGTGTACCTTAGATCCGAGAAAAAATAATGCATGGATCATGGATCGTGTGCATCTGGTCATCTGGATATGTTTCTACAACAAATTATTTACAGCTTCTACAAGTATTCTCCTGGCGAAAAGCCAAAAACTGAAGCACAGATCCTTTCAAGATCAGGCAAAGTGTCAAAATGCCATGATCTTCACATGGCCTAGCCACACCTGACTTGATGACGGAAAGGCCACTGGAAAACATGGAAAAGTCGTGTCAACGAACAGAATAAACTGCATAGCTTTGCTGAAAAGGAACGATCCAACAGTAGAGAAGTTTGGAGCAGGACTGAGGCCTCCATCGCGGCTCTGGCAAAATGCAACTTGCAACTCAGTAAATCCAACTTCATCATATTTCAGCAAACTATTTCACAATATTTCATCTACGCAAGTTCCGTTCCCGAAGATGTCTTCGCGACAGCAAATTCAGTTGAACAATTATATACATTACATTACATATATATATATTAGATATATATATATATATTAGATGTATATATTAGATGTATATATTAGATGTATATATATATATGTAATGTAGTCAATATATGTCAATATAGTATTGTTTTCTGTGTCGCAAAGACCGAAAGTAGACGTCCAGGATCTGGGGATTCCAGGGTCTGAACGCCGGGTTCTTCATCGTCAAAGTAAAGCTCCTCCAATGCTTGGAGTGGTATCTGAGTTTCCTCTTCGGACCTATTTAATCCATGTTTAAAATATTTAAAATTCATGTGTCCATGTTTTATCATGTGTTATCATGTTTTATCTGTATCTTTGCACGAGACACGTACTACCCTTTGCTCTAGATTCTCAATGGCAAAGGAATGTGAACCACTCAACGAAAGCAACTGAGTGAACTGATGACCAAAACACGTTCCCAAACAGGCGATGGCGGTTCCCACAGAACATCCCAAGGATCGCAAGCCACAAACTCGCTCCTTTGCAGCAGAGGCCTGAGAGAAAATGATGTATCAATCTTATCAAATAAAAAAATAACAATGATGTTAAAAAAAAAAAAACATGTTATATTTGATGTTATATTTGATGTTATATTTGATGTTATATTTGATGTTATTCGTTATTTTAGTTCTTACTGTTACTACTATGTATGAATCGTATGAATCAATATGTCCAGGGTGTACAGTGTCAAACAACTGGCTTGGCAGAACCCGTTAAAGTTACTTGTAAAATAGATGAGATAAGACTAGAAAGTGAAAAAATGAAAAGGAAGAGATTTGGAGAAAGTTTGATAGTAGACAGTTGGTTTGATATCAAGCTCGTGTTGCTTGTTCGATGCATCTCTCGCTTCGACATCAATGCTGAGGTTCTGGCTAGCAATACCTGAGTGACAGGGATACACATGATTCACTTGGCATTGCTCAGGTTACTCAGGTTGTCCTGGGACTTGCTTCTTGCCCCAAACTGCACCCCCAAGTAGAACACCGCACTGCATGTGCTTGAGAGTACAAAGTGAAGGCTGTATTTGCTGGCGAGGGGCACATGCAATCTGCGGCCGCAGCAGCAGCATGGAGGCAACTGATTGCAAGGCAGGTCTTTTGACACAACTTGGGCGCAATGAAGAGGCTGCTATGAGTAGGACCTACCCAAAATGAAGCTTTATATAAATTGCAGCATCAGCTGGACAGCAGTCAACGTATTGAAGCAGATCATGAACGAAGAGAAGTACAGTTTTGCTATGGGGTAGAACGGGTAGAACGGATAGAACGGGTAGAACGGGTAGAACTTGCTTGAGGTAGAGGTGGCTGGTATTTCAGCTACACGGGGTGGAGCCGGTGAGGGTTCCGGCACTGCCCAAGGGGTTCAGTAAACGGGTCTGAGCCGAAATTCCGACATGACCTCAGAGAAAGGAAACAAGCTCACATTGACATGTTCGTCAAGAAATCATCAAGAAATCATCTCCAAACGAGCAATTTCGGAGATAGTGGTCGCCCTTGTGTGCCAGCCAACACCCCGAGAAAACCGGTCTGCTCACCCAAAATTCTCTGTGCAGCCTAATAGGGGTCACAAAGAAAATGTGTTTTCCAAACACCTGTGATAGCGTGTTTGAGCGACTCTGTGAAACTCACCTTCGAGGTGCTGGTTACACCTTGAGTAGTCTTAACATGGCCAAAATTGGCAAACAATGCAGATCATTGCAGATCATTGCAGATCTTGAAATCTGTTTCAAGTGTCCAAAGCTTAGGGCTTTGGACAAAACCGACACAAGCGCGTCACGCTTCGAGTGTGCCTGACTAGACAGGTCGAGCTTTCAACAGAGTAATCCTCAAACCTTGGGTTTGAGTAGGAAGAGGCTCTTTCTTAGGAAGGCCGCTGAAAATGGAATTCACCCAGAAATGATCTCGGTGCGGACAAAGTGAAAGCAACACTTTGACACATGCAAAACAAGTTCAACACTCTTGTCAAGCTTCTCTTGAAAAGTCTTTGACAGCAATCCCCACAAAATAAGCTTCATATGGTTTGAAGCCGCAACAGTTTCATTGTGGGTGTCTACAAAAATGGTGCTCCATCCGGCGATCAACCGTGCATTTGGGAGTTTGGGAAACCCGGATGATGATCAACCGTTGATCGAACGTTGATCAACCCTCATTCAAAGCTCGCTCATCAGTCAAGGGCGTGTACACGGAGAACCAGGATTCATCTGCAGACCAAGCGTACCTGTGCAGCCACTGCGCCAGGGAGAAAACGATGATTGGAACTTTACACTTTTAAACCGTTTACCTTTGTTTGTTTACCTTCGTTTACCTTTACTCAAATGTACAGAAAAATTAGAATTGGCAAGAAAACAGCAAGATTAGGCTATGTCAGGAATGTAGCATTGCTCCCAGAGTTCTTTAGTGACACTGGTACCACTGTGGTACCACTGTGGTACCACTGTGGCAAATCACTGGCGGGTCATGTACCTGCTGCACCGAACTGCATTGACATGACATCTTCCTTTGAAATTGACATGTCACATGTCGTTTTGACATCCAAGATGCAAGTGCAATATACTGATGAGGAAGCACTCTATGCCTCAGCATGAAGATAACTTCGAACCGGGAAACTCGTCGGAGCATGGCACATGCAGCACAATGCAGCACATGCAATGCAAGTCAAATGCAAAGATTGCTTTGAGGTATTTATTTGGATTTATCGATTTTGCAGAATGATTTGCTTCTGCTCATGCGTTGGCGACCTTCGGTTGCAAAAAATGCAGACACTCTTGCGTTCCAAGACTTTCCTCCAACAGTTTGCAAAGCCTCCAAGAATACAGTGTTTTAGAGAAGGAAAGCATCCGGGAAATAAAGTCACTTTAAAACTTTAAAATGTCCTTTGTCTGCAATGGTCTTCCAGCTGTTTTGAAACGGTCGTTATGCTGCCAAGTTTGCATAAAAGAGAAGCATAAAGAAGGTTTGCCCGCGTGTAGGACCACCAGCAGAAGGGCGGACAGGCAGCTAAGGCCATTGATTGCAGAAATGCGATGGTCACAATAATCCTGAAGCAACGGTGGGAGCGACGGTGGAAGCGGCGGTGGCCCTTGAGCACCTAAGCCTAAGCGGAGCACTAGAGTCACTAATCACACAAAATGATTTCCTATCCATCCAGCAAGACAATAGAGCTCAGTTGGGCTTAGTACAGCTTTTAGCTCCAGACAAGTTAAAGCAGTCCTGACTTTTGAGAAAATTTAGACCTTGCTTGTCCTTGCTTCTTGTCATTCACTCACAGAACCATGTCATACGTTCAGACTCTGAAATTATACATCCTTCCATTCCCCATCCTATTTACTCCCGGCTGCCAAGAGTCTTTGTACCAAGGAATTTCCATATTGGCCGAAATTCGTGCAAATGCGCGCGAAATCCTGAGCTATCGCTGAAGTCAAGTCCGGAAGGTACACCAAAAAAATCTGAAATGAAACTGTTGAAGCAAGCTGACGAAGCTGGTTGTGATTGACAAACTAGCAAGGCTACTGGACTAACGAAAGCAGTGGGTGTCGCAGTACTCCAACTTGCTACATTGACATCTTTGACGAGTTGTCAGGTCAGCGGCCCCTCTCCACTTCAACGAGATTTCCGATTGCAGCGAATGATGCGATGAAGCCTTCCAGCCCGGGAGAAGGATCAACTCTAAAGCACTTGAAAAATTTGCTCCCACAGTGTGAAGCCGTGAAGGGTATACGGTATGACTATGACACTAAGTCCGGATTGAATTGATGGACACCTTGCCATCATGGAGGATATGTTTTGAAAAACAAAGCGAACGCTGAAGATGGCTTAGTCAACACAGCCAACACTCTGGCTCTCTTTCCAGCAATACGTGCTGCAGAGTGCTCAGACTCAGCCTGCCCCATAGAAGAGATAGTGCACCATCTGTCTAACCTTCTCCTAAGCATCATCGAGGTCAACAGCAGTTGTCTCATAGTTTAAAAGTCGGAAGATATTCACAATACCGAACAAGTTACTCAGGATGCTATGAAAAAGAACAACCAACAACCAGCAAAGGACAATTCAAGGACAATCACAACATAAATTACAATGTCGACAAAGCGCATGCCATGACGTCTTGTCCAAGAGCAGGCGAGCCCCATCCAGTTTGATAAATGGCATGGGTCAAAAGCTCGCAACCGCAAAAGCAGCCACTCGCTGTTAGTCACCAATCTGTTGCGATTTGTGGTTCTGATTTGCTGTGATTGGGTTGCTTTATATGGATACTCTCTATATCAAATGGTCCGTCCTTCGAAGAGAAAGTTGTTCCTTTCAGATGGTAAAGAACCACACACAAGCAAGTAGAGGCTTACAAAGTTGCTGCATTCTGCCAAGGTGCTGTTTGGAGCATGCCTGAGCTTGCAACAGGTGTCGGGGGCGGATGTCAATGTGGCCGCGTACTACCCCGCAACTGACAGCGGAATGACACCAAGAAACCTGGTTGCTGCGTGTGGCAACCGGTTCCAAAAATGCTCTCTTTGAAGTGATAGTATGCTGCCTTGGCTGTCCAGGTTCAATTGAAAAACGAAACTGTGATCACTGTGACCACCTTTCACAACTGGAGACTCAACGGATTTACAGTAAGCCTTCTGCACAGAACAGCAGCTACGCATCTGACTCCAAGAAATGCCTTTTTCTCAACAAAGGAAAATGGACTTTTGTAACTTGCCCTGCACCAAGGAACACAGTTCAAGCTCACTCCATAAATGGCTTGCCCTGCACCTCAACTGGACGCATCTGAAAATAGAAGTATTGCAATGTCCCAAGTGTCCACTAGGACAGGGGGGAACTTCTTCATTAGCAAAAGCTGCGATGAACTGAAACTCTCCTGCTGGTCTGGTGCAACGATCTAGCAGCAAGGGGGAGAGTCGGAGTGGGAGACAAGGTGAAAATCTGCAGGTTGCACATCCAATTATATCCATAGGCTCCACACTTTTGATTTAAAATCTATCCTGCAACGGCCAGCAGGGCAAAGAAGGGCAATGAAGGGCAATGAATAGAGTCTACCTTGAAACATCTTGAAACTGTACCGACTTATCTTGCCGATGCTACTTTGGCTCTCCCAGGCTTTTCCAGGAAATTCAATGTTTGAAGAATTCTGTGTGGTACAGTAGCTCGCCTAACCCACACCGCGTTAAGACCAATTGACCCGATCCAAGCATCTTAGCGAGCTCCAGTTCCAAATTTCAGTCATGGACACTTGCAACCAAGGAGCAGGTGGCGCAAAACAGTTTAATGCCCAAAATGGTAAGACCTGCATCAAAGAGTTGGCAAGAGTCAAGCTCTACGCACACAATTATGGCAAAGCCTAGGAAAATGTCTTGTTAGTTGGAATTGAGAACAATACTCCCTGCTCTCTCAGGCTAGTTAATGACCTTTTCGAATTCTTTTCACAGAATCAGGAAATGCATCAAAATCTCATCCCTCAAGTCACTAACGCAAGGACACCCTCCTTGCCTTTGGTCTGACCGAGCAAGACTCTGAAAGAATCCGACATTTCAGTAAAGGAATCGGGTTTTGGGATCGTGTTGGTCTTGATCATATCATGGGCGTTCAGCATTCCTTGAGTTCAAAGCCAAGAAGCTGCGAGATTTGAAGAAACAAGAGCAACAGGGACCAGGTTTTATCCTGACATGTTATCTCTTTAATATCACTTGTGGCTTTGTCGAATTGTGGCAAATGCGCCCAAGGCGTTCAATTGTTGCTCTGCTTGCAGTCTCTCCAACAACATATTTATGGGAGGTACCACTGAGTACCACAACAGAAAGAAACCTGATATCAGAAAGTGGCAAGCTCCTCAACTGAGCGCAACCATGCTGAACCTGCGTCTTTCTCCGATGAAATGTGTCTGAAATTTCCTTCGCCCCATCTGGACGGCAGGGGTTTGCGTGTTAGTTTCAAGCCCAAGCCGCAACCCAAACCGCAGTAGCAAAAACCTATATAATTTTATATAATTGTATTTTTTTCCGGCCCAAGATAGCGAAATTTGACAGGTGGGAGAAACGCACTGTCTTTAGACCCAATTTGCAAACAAGAAGCCTCTGCGGAGCCGCTGGCTCAAGTATTCCAGCACGATCAACCCAAACGTAAAGAGTGCATAGGATTCGTACCTGGAAGGACTTCCGGAACTGCTTTTCTCTCCAACCTCTCTCCAACCTCTCTCCAAGCAGGCAAATGTTCTCTGGTGCTGCAAGGAGCTATGTTGCTGACAACTGTACTTCATGCTCACAGCAATCTGTGCGCACATGTAGTTGCACTGTCCAGAAGAAACTAACTTTAAAGCACAATGAAGAATCCAGAGGTCTCAAACAACATGAGCGCATCAAGTTCATCTCTGGCATCCTGTGCAGCCATGCGAACCATGGCAAGCCAGGTCACAAATCACCCAACCAGAAGGAAGCATCGTAACCTCGATTGCAAGTAAAAACAAACATATCCCGGCATTCAGAAACTTCCAGCACACCAAAGCCCGAAAAGGAAAGGATGACCTGATGACCCGTTTCCTTTCCGTGCCATGGTTGTTCTTTCCCAAGGTGTAAGATGAACCAAAAGCAGTCCATGCTGAACACATAAATGAAGGCCAGGTGGCTGTCTTGCAAAAACTGTTTTCTTAGGCCAAACGATTTGAAATGATGAGAGTCCGCAGAGTTGTTCACGCTGATACCCCACCTGAGCGTCGGAGTGGCAAGGGAATGGACAGGTTCGCGATTGAAGATTGCACATTATGGACAGAATACTGGTGAATTTAATGAATTTGATGAATTTAAAGCAAGTCTTGGTTTTGCAATGTCTGGAATGACTGACCTTTGCATCCTTTCAATGAACACAGCCAAGACACATACGAACCACACCCTGACATGACATCACTCCGTAAAAGAGCCTCAACAAACCGCGGCGATTTTGACTCGGCCAGGTTTGGAACCCTGAAGGCAAGTTTTGCAAGTCCACAGGGGTTCCACTCCTAGCCTTTTTTGGGGTGCTTGAAAAAATACATGAAAATGCGCCATTTACAATCGTGTGGTAAGTCAAGCAATGCATCCCAAAAAGCGATGCATCAAACCCATTCATCTTCTGAAACCCTTTGACGCACTTGCAGGATTAGCAGCGGAAGAATGAGAATGCGCAAAGTCCTGTCGTGAGTTTCGAAGGTGTGCTCCTCATGAGGTTTTCCCCTGAACCAGGGCGCTCAAAGATGCACCAAATTTTGGAACGCAAACCTAGGACTTAGGAACAACCCGGTAACAACCCCAACAAAGTCAACAAGAAAGTAAGTCTGACAAGAACAATTACACATCTGAGCACATCTGGAAGCCTCTTCCACCAGGAGAGCTGCCGGAGATGCCTCGGCAAGTCAGCAGCGAGCTACTCCGCAACGGGATGGTAGGGCGGACCATCAAGTTTCAAGAGCAACTTAGCAAAACACAGTCTCCTGATGTCTCCTGGCAGCTCTGGCAGCTCAGGCAGCTCACGCAGCCATGTCACTACGTCCTTTGCTCTACTTTTTCTGCTGAGGAAGGCCACTTTCGCTGCTAAGTGCAATGCACAGGTTGAAAGCTTTGTGCTCTACAGACAAACCTCGAGCCATGGATTCCCACCTTCGGAATCTAATCTTCCATAAGCCAGTCCAGTCTTACTTCACGCTTGTATGAAACAGCTAGTAGTAGTTCCTGGTGATCCCGATAACACCATGCTCGTCTCGAGAACGTGGTGTCATCAGGCTCAGGCGGAGCCAGGTGGTCCACCACATTAGCTGGTGGATCCTGGTGGCAAGACACATGCTCTTTACCGAGTCTCATCGTAGGCAGTCAAGCGCATGAAGAGATCAATGCCCCAGCTTCGTGTTCCACTGCGGTTGAAAGACAGACTCCCGGAGGCCACATTGTTCAGCTCGGACGTCTTTGCATTCTTACAAGGATCATCAAAGCTCCAAGCAAGCGATCTATGTCTGCGCTATCAGCACCTGAGGGTGGGCGAGAGCCTGTTGAGCCTGGTGGCCGAGTTGGCGCACCTGCCACTCCACTTGCTCTTGGTCTACTGCCTTTTGCAGTTTCTTCTTATCTGAGATCTTCTTCTTCTTCTTTCTGCCTTTTCCATCCGCCGAAAAGGAATTCACTTGCAGTATGGTTGGATCGCTTGGAGGGACATATGCCATGGAAGGTCTGCAAATTTCACCTGCCTCTAACCCTGTGAAGTCAGGGGCATTTCCAGCCGTTTTGAGCAAAATGCTCTCGTGTCCACCGTGGCCCTGCTGCGGCCAATGCAAATGCTGAGTAAACTGCAAAGCTGCAAAAGAGATAGGGAATCATCATGATCCATCATGATCCATCATGATCTAAATGACGTAGAGTCACTTCATATCAAAATTTGGCAAACAGAATCAGGGGCCATCAACGCCTAAAGTGTGGAAATTCAAAAGTCGTTGGAAGCGTGTGAAATCAGGATCAAAAGTTTCCCATCTAGCGCTAGGGCTTCCCACAGTACTGTGTGGTACAAACACACCAAGTAGGTCGCCTTGGAAGTGACAACTTTCAAATTGCACATTTCTTCAGAATTTCGCCAAAATATGTGACCAAAGGGGATAGCATGCACAGACTCTGATGTTGCCGTCAATTCACTTCAGTACCGCTGAGAATTCGACTTGCAAAATGCTGGGTTCCCGCAGACCATTTTGGTAGTAGATAATTCTAATCGCAAAAAACTTGCCTAGCAGAAACACCCCCCAAACAAAAAAACAACAACAACAACAACCTCCATCTCTCTAATGAGGGGCTCTGCAAAAGCTGATGCTATTTCAACGACAATCCCATCTGTCATCTGAGCGCATCACGACTGTAAAGAATGGGCAAGACATAGAAACTGTCCGTAAATATGGGTAATCTTCCAGGCTATCTTCCTGGCGCAGGAAACAGCAAGGAGGAAAGACTGCGGTGGACGACGCATAGCATTACATTACATTACACTGCATAGCATTGCATACTTACTTGCACCATGTACATAGCATATCATACCATACCATACCATGCCATAGTATGACACATGACACATTAATCACATTACGCACATTTCTCACATTATATACATACATGCGGACATACAGACATACGAACATAAATACCTGCCTGCCTGCCTGCCTGCCTGCCTGCCTGCCTGCCTGCCTCCCAATCTACCTACCTTTATATATATATATACATATAATACACATGTATATATATATATACACATGTATATATATATGTATATTTATGTATATTTATGTATGTGTCTATATATATATTATATTATATATATATATGTATATATATATGTATATGCCGACGGGTTGAAAACCGAACCAGCGTTTTGCATGCATGATGCAATGCTGCTGTACGCCTTTTTGCACTTCCTCACTTGCATGATGCTACGCTACTGTATGTCGTCTTGCACTTCCTCACATATATGATGCTACGCTGGTGTACGTCGTCTTGCACTTCCTCACATACATGATGCAACTCCACTGTATGTCGTCTTGCGCTTCCTCACATATATGATGCTACGTTGCTGTACGTCGTCTTGCACTTCCTCACATATATGATGCTACGCTAGTGTACGTCGTCTTGCACTTCCTCACATACATGATGCAACTCCACTGTATGTCGTCTTGCACTTCCTCACATATATGATGCAACGCTGCTGTACGGCTTTTTGCACTTCCTCACATGCATGATGCAATGCTGCTGTACGCCTTTTGGCACTTCCTCACATGCATGATGCTACGCTACTGTATGTCGTCTTGCACTTCCTCACATATATGATGCTACGCTAGTGTACGTCGTCTTGCACTTCCTCACATACATGGTGCAACTCCATTGTATGTCGTCTTGCACTTCCTCACATATATGATGCTACGCTAGTGTACGTCGTCTTGCACTTCCTCACATACATGATGCAACTCCACTGTATGTCGTCTTGCACTTCCTCACATATATGATGCAACGCTGCTGTACGGCTTTTTGCACTTCCTCACATGCATGATGCTATGCTAGTGTACGTCGTCTTGCACTTCCTCACATACATGATGCTACGCTAGTGTACGTCGTCTTGCACTTCCTCACATACATGATGCAACTCCACTGTATGTCGTCTTGCACTTCCTCACATTTATGATGCTACGCTGCTGTGCGTCTTTTTGCACTTCCTCACATATATGGGAAAACAGTTCCCACAAAAACCTCTCCAAGCTCACTGCAGAAATTGTGAAGAACACTTAGCGCAGAAAAAAAGAGAGTGCTGCTGAGGTGTTTTACATATCCAGTGAAAAGTACGCGCGTACTTTTTAAGGAAATTGAACTTTGAGAGAGATGCAAAACCACTGTGATTTGTGGTATGAAATCAATGACGAACACTGCAAACGTTGAAAACGCGGGTTCGATAAACAACCCGCCGGGATGTATATGTATGTAATATGATTATCTATATATATATATACACATACGTGCACATGATATGTATAAATATATATGTATATGCATGCACATGGTATGTATGTATATATATATATTATATGCATATAATATGTATAGCTTCGCATATAATTTGTATATGTATGCATATAATATGTATGTATATATATATATACACACACGTGCATATAACATTTACCGTATATATAAACAATTGTGTACGTGTGTATATATATACCATATACATATGCACGCACATATGCTGCACATACATACATACATACATACATACATACATACATACATACATACATACATACATACATACATACATACATACATACATACATACATACATACATACATACATACATACATACATACATACATACATACATACATACATACATACATACATACATACATACATACATACATACATACATACATACATACATACATACATACATACATACATACATACATACATACATACATACATACATACATACATACATACATACATACATACATACATACATACATACATACATACATACATACATACATACATACATACATACATACATACATACATACATACATACATACATACATACATACATACATACATACATACATACATACATACATACTACATACATACTACATACATACTACATACATTACATACATTACATACATTACATACATTACATACATTACATACATTACATACATTACATACATTACATACGTTACATACATTACATACATTACATACATTACATACATTACATACATTACATACATTACATACATTACATACATTACATACATTACATACATTACATACATTACATACATTACATACATACATACATACATACATACATAACCTTACCTTACCTTACCTTACCTTACATTACATTACATTACATTACATTGCAATACATACATACATATATATTGCGCATGAAATGTATAATATATAATATGTATGTGTATATGTATATGTATATATATATACATATATATGATGTGGGCTCCCGTCAAAATCCTTTACATCTGAGTAGTTGCTATTGTTATGGTTATCGCTTTTGGGGGGGCCCTATCGCTTTCCAGGGTTTTGTGGAAATCAGCATATTCGAGATCCAACATGAAGCCAAAATCCATTCCTAAACAGGCTCGGAAATGGATTGAGCAGTTGTTTTGTTGGTTTCAGGTGCTTCGGCAACACTTCATGTTCCTTTCGTGTTGCTTTCATTTGCATGCATGTTCCTTCATTTACCTTTCATTGTGCATTCATTTCCTTTTATTTTCCTTTCATGTTCCTTTCATTGGTATTCATGTCCATTAATTTTCCTCTCATATTCCTTTCATTTCATTCCAATGTGCATTCCTGTCCTCTCATCTTCCTTTCATTTGCACACATGTTCCTTTCATTTTGCATTCATGTCCTTTCATTTCCTTCCCAAAGTTATGCAAATGGCTCTATGGCTTGGCCAGGCAACCGAGTGCAACAAATGGTTATCGCTAAGTTATCGCTAAGGTTATCGCTAAATAACCCCTCCAACATATGACATTGTTCGAAGGAAATTTGCCACAAAACGACACAGAGAGAGAGAGAGAGAGAGAAAAAAAAAAAGCGAGAGAGCGAGCGAGTTGGATGCCAAATGCTATGGTAACTGCAGGAATCGGTTTTGCCCGTTCTGTGAATGTGCACAACAGTATTTGCTTGGTTTACGCCAAATTTAATGGACTGTCGTGTGTGGTCCCAGGTTATCGCTTTTGGGGGGGGCCTATCGCTTCACAGTGTTTCATGCACATCTCTGACAAAAAAAAACCTGCAATACTAAAGTAGTCTTCAACCATTTTGACTGTGTGTATAGACATGTTGTTCATGTGTGTCTGGGTGTCGGTCTGGACCCTTCAGCGCACGCCTCACCAATTCCTACTCCTACTAGCCATGGCCAAATTTCTTTGATTCATAAATGCCGTACCATAAACGTCCATAAACTGTCACATCCGAAAAAGAGATAAACCTGTCCAGCATTCTTGATGGCTAGTGCCGACAAGCTTCCTATGCTGGCATCAAAATTAGAACTTTGCACGTCTGGACTTCAGAATGTGTTCAACTTCACTTAGCAGACTTAGCAAACTTTTGAGAATGCTGAGGGTCCTCATGATACACATGACTCATGACCTTTACAGAGAGCTTTCAGAAGCAGCAGTCCGATGCGTTGAGGTTGTTTTTGCCCCTTTCATTTGTCAGTTTCACACTTGCAAAGTAGCAACAGCACAAAAACAAGACACACGCGGCCCTCAGCTTCCACCCCAACTAGATTGCCGCAACAAGGTTGACGCTGCCCCGGCAATGCCTTCTGCCACTCGTCTGTGCTATTTGTGTCATTATCCAAGGCCATATTCCTTCGAACGAATTCGGCCACATTGTCCGGTTGAAGCCAACCTGTCAATGGCCACACTGTCCAAGTACTGTCAAATCTCCATAGAAACTGGTATCTCAGCACCAGGGAAAACTGTTTTGCGCAAATAGAACAATTTGTTGCGGTTCCGAGTAAAGCCTTGTGTCCACAAGCTGGGTCCATGCGCCGGCATTGATTCGGATCATGCTTTGGATGTTTGCCAACGCAGTGTATTCCTTCATCCAAAACATCCCAAAATGCAGACTCTCCCAGACCCCGTCAGACCT